GCTGCTCCTTGGAGGCAAGGATTCTGGGGCTTCGTCTGACATACTTTGGACATGTTGTAAGGAGAGACAGGTCTTTGGAGAGGGACACCATCCTTGGTAGGGTGGAGGGACAGCGCAGGAGGGGAAGACCCTCTATGAGGTGGAGTGATTCAGTGACTTGGGTAATCGGGATGGATGTGTCAGAGGAAATACGATTGGCACAGGACAGAGCAGGGTTTAGGGCTGTTGTACATAGGGTCACTAAGAGTCTCAAACGACTCAACGGCACATAACAAAAACAACAACATGGAAACATGGTGTCAGATGAATGGCTTGAAATAATTATTTTCTTGTTTCTCTTTAGGGACCTATGAGCTGTCATGCCATCATAATCCACTGGTTATCAATGTGACACATCACCCGAATGTCTTCACCCACCATACCGTCTCAGTGCTACTGAATTTCTCCTCCTCATTGGTGGGCATCTCAGCAGTGGCTCTAAGGACATCCTCTCACATCAGCCTTTCAACTCCACATAACTGCATCCCCAAGCACAACAGGCTAGATTATCAGGGACAGAGGTATGAAGTTCTCACCCAACCTTCCTCCTTTCCTTCGTTCCTTCAGTCCATCCTTCCTCTCTCTTTCTCTGTCTTGCTTGCTCTCATTGTGTTGTGGTTATGATAAACTGCTATAGTTTTGGTACATAGAAATGTGCATACAATAGGTATTTAATCATTAACTAAAAGTGACAGGTCTGGAGACTGCTGAAAAAAAAACCCAAATAAACCAATAACAAAGCAAGCGAGCTGCAAGCAAAGAACAATTTGTAAAACTCCTACTTGGGTGTTATATTTCCCTTCTCTTTCCTTAGTTAAGCATAGTTTTTTTATGTAAATATTTAAAATCTTTACAAAGTCTTAATTTTTTTTCCATATAAAAACACTCATTTCAATTCAACACTATTATATAAACTGCCAAAATCTTTTTGCCCAAAATGCAAGGTTCCCTAGGCAGTGTATATTTTTCTACTTGTTCCCACCTGGACATTGTATATAGCAAGCTTAACAGTCAGTTTCTGAAGCATATTCTAAAATAAACTAGGGCTACATATAGGAATCAGGGACACATTTGCTTGTTGTCTCTCTCTGTGGATGTCTGTGAGTGTGAGTCAGAATGCCTGTGTCACTGGATTCTCAGCACGGACAGTAGGACTGTACTTCATGGTATGGGTACGTTCAAGGTGAGCCCTAGTTGGGGAGGGTGTCACCTGAACATTAACTGTCTTTGCTACAGTTGTACTGGAATCATTATCTAGATAGTCTAAACAGTTGAATTGGACTAATGGGAGATTTTGTGGTCTAAATTGCACTACTCACGCAAAGGCAGGCATTTAGGAACCACTAGTTGTTCTATGGGAGAAAAAGAACGAATCTCCCATGCCATTTACAGCTTCTGAAGACCTGCTGGAGAGTCAGTTATGAGTCAGTTTCAACTTAATGGCAATGAGTTTGAGTGGAGTTTTATAGGTAGCCAAGAAGTAGTCATTAACACAGAGCAAGGAATACTTGCTCAGGAAAGGTGCATATCAGGGTTGTATCCTTTCATCATTTCTCTTCATTCTGTATACTGAGCATATAATGAGAGAAGCTGGACTATATGAAGAGGAATATTTCAATTGCATAGAAGAAACACTCCCCACCAACCTGGATACGTAGATGACACAACTTTGCTTGCTGAAAAGTGAGGAGGACTTGAAGCATTACTGAAGAAGATCAGAGACTGTAAGTATGCATTATACCTCAACACCAAGATAGCAAATGTCCTTACAACTGAAGCAGTGGGAAATATCATGATAACTAGAGAAAAGATAGAAACTTTGAAGGGTTTAATTTTATTTGGATCCAAAGTCAATACCCATAGAATCAGTAATCAAGAAAACAAAAGGCATATTGGGAAGATCTGCTGCTACTAACCTCTTTAAAGTATTAAAGAACAAGATTCCACTTCAGACTAATGCACCTAGTCCAAGCCATGGCATTTTTAGTTGATTCATGTGCATGTGTTGAACAAGGAATAAAGAAGACCAAAGAAGAATGGTTGGGTTAAGGGGTTTTTTTTTGCCTTTGAATTATATGTTGGAGAAGAATATTAAAAATGTAATGGACTGCCAAAAGATCAAACAAATGTGTCTTGGAAAAATTATAGTCAGAGTGCTGTTTGAAGTTGGTGAGGTTGGTGAGACTTTGTTTCCTATACTTTGGACATATTGTGAGGAGGGGCTGTTGTTACTGTTGTGTGCCATCAAGTCAGAACCAACTGATAGTTGACCATCCAGTGAGTTTTCAAAGGCAGTTTAATCTCAGGAGGGTATTGCTTATCTTCTGTGAAGCAGCTGGTGAATTCATACTACATGCCTTTGAGATTGCCGTATAGCAGTTTATCACTAAGTCACCAGAATCCCTGTAAAAGGACACTATGTTTGGAAAAATGGAGGGTCAGCAAATGAGAGGAAGATCTTCAAGGAATTGGACTGACAAAGCAACTGTAACAATAAGTTTAAGCACAGCAGAGAGTGTGACAATATAACAAGATAAGACAGGATTTGTATTCTGTTGCCCATGCGGTTGCTCTGAGTCAGAGTCAATTGATGGCACCTAATAACAACAGGAGTGGAAGCAGGAGTGGCATCCACTTCCTAAACAACATGCCTCTGGAAATTCTATGAACTTTGATAAATGTCAAGAGTTATAGAAATTCTTCAAGCCTTTTGTTCATAGGGTCACTGTGAGTCATGCTTGACTCTAAAGCAATCAACAACAACATAAAGAATCAGGCAATTAGGAGTTTAATCACAAGGGCTGGACTTCCAGGCAATGCTCTATTGCAAAGGAGAACTCTGGTACTGCCATGACCGTTCCAGGTACGTGGTTGTATCTGAACCTTGTCCTATCCTGTGCCATTCTCATTATCTCTGATACACTTGGCCCATTGTTCGAGTCATGGTCAGTCCATCTTACTGGGTAGTCTTCTCTTTCACTGTTCTTCTACTTTTCTAAGCATCATGTCCCTTTCCAAAGAATAGCAACATACTCAAAGTATGTGAGATGAAGCCTCACCATCTTTGCTTTCAAGGAGTACTCTGGCTGCACCTTCTCCAAGACTTTCTCATTTGTATTGTTGGCAGTCTACGGGATCTTCAGCACTCTTTCCAGCACCACAGTTTAAGGACTTCAGTTCTTCTTCTGTCATCCTTATTCATTGTCCAGCTCTCAGATGCGTAGCAAGTGACTTAAAGACCATGTCCTGAATTAGGTGTACCTTCATTCTCAAATCCTTTCCTAGTGCAATACATCACCTGATCTCCTGATTGCTGATAATAAGCATATAAATTGTGAATCCAAGTAAGATAAAATTGTTGGTAGTTTCAATCTTTTCTACATCTATTATGATGTTGCTTATTAATGAGGATTTTTCCTTTTTTGTCCTTTAGATGCAATCCACATTGTAGGCTGCACTGTTAAGTCCTCACAAGGTTGTGTCATCCGCGTAAGGAAGGTTATTGATGAACAACTTCCGATCCAAATGCCACATTCTTCTTCATAGAGTTGGGCTTCTTGAATAATTTGCTCTGCATACAGATTAAATAAGTATGGAGAAACGAAATAACCCTGACACACACATTTCCTAATTTAAATGATGTAGTGTTCCCTTTGCACAAACACAGTTCAATGTTCTGGAATTCCCATTCTTCTCAATGTTAGACATAATTTGTTATGATCCACACAGTCAAATGCCTTTGCATACTCAATAAAGCACAAGTAGACATTCCTCCGGTGTTCCTTGCTTTCAGCCAGGATCCATCTGACATCAACAATGACATCCTTGATGTTATGGACTCTTCTAAATCCAGTCTGAACATCTGGAAGTTCTCTGTTTATGTACTGTTCTAGCCATTTTTTGAATGATCTTCAGCAGTATTTTGCTCACATGTGATATTGTTTGATAATTTACACGCTCTGTTGGATCATCTTACTTGGGAATGGGGAAAATATGGATTTCTTTCAGTTAGTCAACCAGGCAACTCTCCTCCAAATTTTCAGGCATAGACTGATGAATGCATCCAGGGCTGCCTCTGCTCTTTTAAATATGTCAATGGTATTCCACTGATTCCTGGGGCCTTGTTTTTTGCCAATGCCTTCAGCGAAGCTTGAACATTTTCTTTCCTTTACCAATGGCTCTGGATCATATGGTACTTCCTGAAATATTTCAATGTTGGCCAATTCTTTTTGGCACAGTGATGCAGTGTATGCCCTCAATCTTTTTTTTTTTTATGTTTCCTGGAAAGAACTGGAAAAAAATATGCAAGCCTCAAGTTGCACTACTTAGAGATGCTATAGGCAAAATCATCTTAATTCCAGATATGTTGTTGTTGATTGCCGTCTAGTTGAGCATGACGCATAGCAACCCTATGAACTATCATAATTTCTCAAAGTTTGTAGAGTTTCCAGAGGCTTGTTGTTTAGGAAGTGGATGCCTCTCCTGATTCCAGGTGTACCAGAAACCTAATCCTGATTAGAGCTGTTAAGTATAATAGTATGATGTATTTGTTATTTATTCCTTTGTAACTCATCATGTCTGCATTTAGGGGGATAACATCACAAAAATTGATGCTAGGATTTTTTGTTTGCTTTATGAATGAAAAATTTAGATCCAGTTTAACTAGGAGTCTCCAGAGTATAATCTTTAATGAAGTTGCAGTCAACCTGTTAACTGTCATTCAAGTTGTCTCCAGGTTTGAGTTGAACTGGAGAATTCACTCCCCCGCCCCCATGCAGCACAGAATTTTTATTCTTTAATTATAGGAATACTAAGAGATGGCTCATTCTGGGGATTATAAAGGAGGAGAAAAAACAGCTTTGTTATGTTTTTAATTTATACCATGAGTTTTTCTGGTGAAAGATGGCAAAGCCCATGAAAACTTAGGGACAAAGTTACAGCCTCTCATGAAGCAGGAGTGACATCTACTTCCTGAACAACATGCTTCCAGAAAATCTATGAATTTTGATAAATGTTGATAGTTACAGAAAGGCTTCAGGTGTTTTGTTCATAGGGTCGCTATGAGTCATGCTAGACTCAATGCAATCAATAACAACATGTTTCAGTGGCATTTCTGAGGACAAACTTGGTGTTTCTATGCCCTGTTATCTAGAGAGCTTACCCTCCTCCTCTTGTCCTGGTTGAAATACAGTCATTCGAATGTCTGCATTATGAGTCTATCTTATCTGATAACCCACTATCTAGACCATTACCAGTTCTAGAGGGCAGTACAGGGACCATCTGAGGAATATGCTAAAGTACTGAACATGCCATTCTACTACATCCAAGGAGCACTAGAAAACAATCAAGGCTCGCTGAGAACCTACCTAAGCTGACACTGCACAGCTGGTCCACAAACAGAGGAAGAAGCAAGTCATGTAGGTCCTCATTTCACCCATGCTTTGTGCTTAAATGTTTTCTGCTAGGTGGGGTGCCCCTCTGACCAGGACTGGTCTTAAGAGTCTCTCAGTATCTTCTCTCT